TATAGGTTTTGCTAACATTCTACCTGGTTATAGTAAGTTAGCATTATATATATTTTTTGATTTTCCAAAATACGTATTTGTTACCACCAAATTAAATTTAAGGAGTTTTTTGAGATTCACATCAAAATTCCACCATTTCATCTCTAATAACAATTTAAATCCTACATAGAAAAACCACGAATCCCTCCTCCCCATTTCTTTTTTCGGCGACTGCTCATGCTTATTTCTTTCTCAATGGATAAAATTCAGGAAGCAAGAGTATTCATCAAACACTGTCAACAAATTTACAGAAGCACATTATTCCATCGTAATTCTAATTTGTCATCATTTCATGTGGAAGGATAAGCCTAGAGAAGATCTTCTCTGCACAGTTATAATTAATTTGGGTGAAGTTCATAAAAAAAACAATAATGCCTTGCACTTACTAATGAGATCTTTGCATTTTAACCCCACTGAAACTTGACATTGATTCCATTATTTCATTTCAATCTAGTCTATTCTTTGGTCCTGACGTGTCTGGGAAAGAAAAGAAAAGAATGTTGCCGGCAAAGAAAATTGGGAGGGGAAATTCGCTAGAAAAGTGGGAGGAAATGAGGACCCAAATATTAATTTCTTGGTAGTACAAAAGTTCCGTGGAAAGACGATAGAGTCCTCAATTATAAGAAATGATGATGTGTTTGTAAGGGTATTTTGGAGAATCTAAAGATGTATACAAAGGCTAACCTACTACAGTCACTTAGTAGGTTAGCAAAATCTCTCTCTCTCTATATAGTTCATAAACATCTACGTCTTAGACCACCATTAGCTAATTAGGGATTAGATAAATACCTCATTCTTTACTAGCAAGTTTAATTAATTAAATATATAATGTTGATTATAATCTCCCTATTAAAAATTAAAGAAAAGGAAAAGGGACTCTTGTAGCAAGAGTTTCATCTCAGGAAAAATACAGCATACTGACATAATAATTGTTTAACCCAAAATTTAGATCTAGATTTAAACACTTCTCTTTATAATAGAGGGCCACAAGCGAGGCTATGTGGCACTTCTCTTTGTTAAGGAATCACATTTTTCTTTTTTCTCAATTTTTTGCCTTCTTTCTTATTTTCTGATAAATTATTTAAGCAAGCATCTAAGACACTTTCGTTCCTCTTTGGGAAATATCTCCACCCTTTCATATCAGTGCTTTAATAATCAATCCCTCCTATGCCTGTTTCTCCTCACTATTCCATCTTCCCTCTGTGCATTTCTTCTCTTTCCCGTGTAATTTCAGGTAAAGGCCTTATATTTCTCTATATACTCAGACTTTTGGTCTTCTCTATTTTAATTATCTTCAGTATTATACTTATAACCATTTCTTATTTCTCCATTATTTTCATAACTTGGTATACATGATAAGATTCATGATAGAGGGTTTCCCTCTCCATTTTCAACAGAAGTTTTTGTCTTCAACGACTTTAACATTAGTTTTTTTTCATCTTTCGTCGATAGTTCTCTCTGTCTTCACTTTATGATCAACAATTATATCGTCTTCTTTCTAAAGGCGCCATCTGTTGCACATCAGAGTGTCAATTATGCCGTTAATTAATTTTGTAATTTTATTGTCCATGAATAGCGCACATGTGGGATTTTTGGCGAAAATTTATTTTGGGACTTGCATGTGATATTCTTTGCTTAAAATGGAGATCACCAGGCTTTCTCCTCTAATTCATGATCAAATTAAATAACACGTTATACTTGCCAAACTTCAGTCAAGAATTTCTTTGCACTACTTATGAGGGCTTCCAATAAGTAGAAAGGAATTTGTTTCCCTAATTGTGACTTTTTGCGTTCATAGACGTTTTGTTTTTAATGGACTTCTAACAAGTAAAACGAAACGACGGATCGGTTATTTCCTAACCTCAGTAAGTGGGGAGGTGTCTATTCAAAATGAGGAGATTTATATTTTGTTACTATTTAATTATTTAATAAGGTAAACAATTAAAATAGAAAAATATCCAAACACAGGAGTAAAAAGACAAATGTAATTCGTAATTATTGAGAGGTGTCACAATAGTTTTATAATCAAGTACTTCATCCGTTCGCTTTTAGTTATTACCTTTTGACTTTCTACTACCTTTAAAATTTTACATTTTACCCATAATAATGATAGCATTTCAGAAAGTCTTATGAATGTTTCGGATAATGAATAGCTAATAATAAGGGTAAAAAGGGAAAAAAAGAATGTCTTTCTCTTGATTTGCTAAAATAGATAGTAAAAATAAAAATATATTTTTAATATAGTAGAAAAGTAAAAGTGAACTGAGAGAGTAATATTTTTTATCTCACACCTCTAATCTCTTCCTAATAGCCATAACTCTCTTAGCATTTCAAGTGCATATCTTTCAAATGTTTAATGTATAAGTTAATATCACCTTATGGTGTTCTATTGTATACTTATATAAGTTCATTTTTAGTTATTCTCTTAATACTTCTTTGTTGTTGAATTTCCATTACTCATATTCTTCTCCACGTTCATCTACAATTTTACTTTTGACTTCGTTTCCTTCATAACTTTGGTCTATCTCAAGTTTGTAAGATGACTCAAAACATTTTAAATTCTTAATCATTTTATGAGGATAAAAATAGAGGGTCTAGAGAAGATTGGTATTGTTAGAAGGGAGAATATATTTGAGGGAGTTCGGAAGATGAAAAAAATCTATATATAAGTTATAACTGCAAGGAAAGACCAACACTCTTTATCTTCAGATAATAAGAGATTCTTTCTTAAGAATTTATTCTGTTATTATTCTAAACTTAGTGATATATAGAGTGTTAGAGTAAACCGAAAAAATACTATATTTATGATTTAATCTGCTTATAAAATTAGTTTTTGCATGAATATACATGGAATTCATTCTCCTATCTTGACCAATTTACAAAAAATACCGAATATTTTATAGATTCTTTTTCTTGACTGCGCGAACTGCGGGCAACATCACTAGTTTTGTAATAAAATAGGGTTAATCTTAGCTAATATTAATATCCAAAAGATAGATTAATTGATTTTGTGATGACCCAAAAGGTCATCTTTCGTTTTAGAATTCGCTTCCGTATTTTGAGGCCTTGAAAACCTCATTTTATCTCTCCTCGATTTGCGTGCACTGTCCGAGCGTGTATCTGAAAAGCCCTTATGTGGAAAAAATTTAAGAAATGATGATTTTTGGCTTAAAAAGATAATTTTAGTTGACTTCGGTTTAACATTTTGGGTATACGGACCCTGAATCGAATTCCGAGGTCCCTAGCCCGAGAAATAAATTTTTGAAGAAAATTGTTAATTGAAAATATAATGATTTTTAGAAATTGAACCTGATCTCGTTGGTATGGGACCCATATTTTTATTCTGAAGCCCGGTACAAGTTTAATATGGTATTTAAGTCATGTCTGTAAAATTTGGTGAGAAACAAGACTGATTTGACGTGATTCAGACATCCGATTGTGAAAATAAAAATTTCAAGTGTTCTTAAGGATTTCATGAGTTTTGGTGTTAAATTCGTTGTTTAAGATGTTATTTTCGCAATTTGACCGCACGAGCAAGTCTGTATGTTGTTTTTAGACTTGTGTGCATATTTGGTTTGGAGCCCCGAAGGCTCGGGTGAGTTTTGGATAGGCCTCAGAATATTTTGGACTTAAGGAAATTTTCTGGTATGTTGCAGGTCTGCAGACTTCGCATTTGCGGAGTCTGGCTCACAAATGCAAGCATCGCATTTGCGAACACCCTTCGCATTTGCGATCAGGAGGTTGGGCAGGCGACCTTCGCATTTGCGAAGTTCATCGCCGCAATTGCGACTTGAACTGTGGTCGCATTTGCGAACAATTGTTCGCATTTGCGAAGATAGCAGGCCAGGCCAAGCTTCGCATTTGCGAAGTATTGGTCGCATTTGCGAGTAAGGCTGCTTATCGGGCGGATTGGGCAGTTATTTACTCTTAACGGTTTGGCTTAACGGTTATCGGCTTTTAAATGTATTAATCCATTAGCCACCCGATAAGATATCGGGCGTATTGGTATCGATTTTGCTCTTATCGGGCGGTTTATCTGCCTAACATACATATTCACTAAATTGTATTTTCCTGTTGGACATGAAATATCTGAACTGATTATAGAGCATGAATCGGAAGCAATGCAGAGGTAAGTGGTTCAGCACTTTACGAAGTATGTACGAGAATTCCTTTCACTCTCTTCTTCTGCAACTTCTATATAAAATTCAGCAGACATCATCAAACAACAAAAAGAACACTAAGTTACTCTTTTGCACAGAAAAATGCTTCTACATACAGAGCAAATAAATACTATCGCAAGTGTACTTTATGAGTTGTCCCAATTAGGAGCCCACAAAATTAACTGCCGACCTTTTTTTCTTACTGCTCGTCACATTAAAACCCCTGGTCAATCAAAACACTAACTATTTGCAAAGATAGCACTGACTATACACATTTGCAAGATTACCAGCACCTAACTTCTTGTGCATCCAGTCAATGATATCTTGAGCAATTTCTTCATCTCGGGCTCAAACAGAAGGTCACGCTCGGCCTGCATTTGGATGACGAACATAATATTAAAGAGCGATGTTGATAGCAATGTCTTTACAATGTCAAATTAGTCGAATCAAGAATTTTATTTAATAAATCACGATATTACTGCACTAATTAATAACTTATGATAATGGTCCCTTCCATGAAGTTGATAGCAACAGTAACAAAGATTAGTCGTTCACCCACCACAAAAAAAGTTGTCCCTATCATCAGCTATAAATTTTTTACTACTATTATTAATTAATTGCAGGAGATAGTCAAATCAGGAGACACTAAATAGGTTTTTTGTTGAGAAGAGAAGAGGTAGCCAAATGATAAAACTGGGAATAGACAGAGTAGCTGATGAATAATCTTACCAAATATATTAACACTATACGTCAATTACGGAAGGGTCTTTTCCATTGCTGGCTAAATTTGAAGAAAAAAATTAAAATAATGAGTTGTGCGATAAATATAAGCATATCAACAACACTTATATACAACAAATATAGTAACAATATTATTACCTTGTTCAAGCTGCTCGATTTTATCAAGATCTTCCTCAACACTAATGGGTTGTTTTAATTTTTCATTTCGAAGCCAATCTTGAAGACACACTAGAGCTTGCACCAATTTAGGAGTTAATGAACTCCTAAATGAATCAAGAAGATGTCCTCCCGTACGAAACACACATTCGGATGCCACACTTGAAACCGGAACAGCTAATACATCACGGGTCATCTCCGCAAGAATAGGAAATCTAGCTGAGTTCAATTTCCACCAAAGAAGAACATCAAATTCTTTAGTGTCATCCTCAGTTTCTTCACCTAAATATTTATCTAATTCTGTTCTAGTATCAACACCTCCACTCCCACTTTTATAGTTTTTTATATCTTTCATGAGTGATTCTAAAAGTCCTATATTTTGGGTGCTTGCTTGACTGCCAGAAAGCCCGGAAGTCGAAGTGCCCAATGAAGAACAGCCTGAAGATGAAGCAAGCACAACACCTTTTAAGCTGGACTTTACATACTCACTGAATAATGAAGTCATGTACTTCGCCACTTCTGCTTGTATAGTTGCCCCCGTACCTACACCAAATATCTTTACAAGTGCAAAGCCAACTGATTCGATCTTCTAACGTGGATCCAAAATACAAGTGATAAAAATTATCTTGTTCATTTTCCCTGGATCATCCCAATACTTATCAAACTTTTCTTTCATATTCTTTGCCATTTCACTTAAAATTATATCTTCATTTGCTAACAATTGCTTCAAATAGACAGCAACTGCACAAATTTCAAGAAAATGAATATTCGATATAATATAACGTGATCCAGATATCTTCAAAATAAGAAGATAGAAGATTTCATAAAGCTTTGTAATTCTTTTTACATTCTCCCAATCACTACTCAAAAGTTCACCTGTAGGAATTCCAACATCAATATAAGAATGCTCAAGATAATATCTCAAACCAATTTCACTAGAAGCATAATGTGAAAATGCACTTTCAAATTCAACAACCCTGTGCAACATCAAGTAGGTGGAATTCCATCTAGTTGGAACATCTAAACATAAGGTTTTCTTAGAATTGAGTTATTCAGCATAAAAACATTCTTGAAACCTCTTCAACCTTGCAAGAGACTGCCTAACATATCTCACTGCATGCCTTACACGTTCAATAGACACTGAAGTTTCTTTTAAACCATCATGGACCACAAGATTCATGATGTGAGTCATACATCTCACGTGAAGGTGAGTACTATTCATCAAATTAGTTCCCATTTTTGTTAATTGCTTAGATAATTCTTTTACTGTCACATCATTTGAGCTTGCATTATCAACTGTGACAGTGAAGATCTTATTTATCCCCCACTCACGTAAGCACCTACCAATACCGTTTGCCATATCTTCGCCTTTATGACTAACAATAGGACAAAAGTTAATTATTCTCTTATGCATATTCCATTCACTATCAATCCAATGGGCAGTGATACACATGTAATTGATTCTTTGTATAGAAGTCCAGGTATCAGTGGTAATACATACTCTTTGTTTTGTTTCTATAAAAACCCTCTTCAACTTTTGCTTTTCTTCATTAAAAAGATCAAAACAATCCCTAGTTACAGTACTATGGGAAGGGATCTGAAAATAAGGTTGCGCCACTTTCATAAAGTCTCTAAAACCTTCTTTCTCAACAAAGCTAAAAGGAAGCTCATCAACTATTACCATACGACATAATGCCTTCTTACATTCTTCTTGTTCAAATTTCCAAGTAACAACAACTACGTCACCCTGACTACTCTCCGGAGCAGATTGAAAGCCTAAATTTGATTGTTTTTTATCAACAATAGCAGGGTGTTTAGGACACTTAAGCATATGAGAAAGAAGTGTCTACGTACCGTCTTTGGTCTTAAATACATATTCAATAAAACAATAGTCACATTTTGCTTTTGTACTCCCTTTAGAAGTAATAATTTCTGTAAAATGATCCCACACAACAAACTTTTTTCTCCGTTTTTTGGTTATATTTGACTCCGTTGTTTGAGCTTGACTTGTTACATTTGAATTAAAAGCCCCACTTTCACCCATCATCACCTTATCACTTTGTATATTTTCAGCCATGTATGAGTCACTGCAACAAGAAAAGAAAAGGAATGAGAATAAAGACATCAAGTTGTAAACTAATCGTATTTGGTTATTAAAGTGGAACACATTTATAACAAAGAAATAGTGTAATTGTATTTTAAACTTACTAATTTAAACTTTATAATTTTTAAATCTGCCTAAATCCAACATATCTAATATAGTGTATCCGATATGAATTACATAAATTACTTCACAAATAGGAAAATTTCAAAATTGTATAGGCTCTCGTTTTTCCTGGAAAATGTATTACATGAGACTCTTATACCACAACTCCAGAGCTTGGATTTACGGTTTTGGTTAATTATAGGAAGTTTCTGCTAAAGTTAAACCTAAATTTATTAATTTTAAATTAAACCTAAAGTTAAACCTAAAGTTAAACCAAACTGAAGTTATTACCTGCTAAAGTTAAACCTAAAGTTAAACCAAACTGAAGTTATTACCTGCTAAAGTTAAACCTAAAGTTAAACCAAACTGAAGTTATTACCTGTTCCTTTGGATGGATCATACAAAATTAATTTTTAGTTGTAAACATCCTAGTAATTTAATAACCAAATACGATTAATTTGAACAGCACAAAACATAAGAAAGAGAAATGAAGACGAAGAAGAAAACCCTAAAATTATCAAAATAAACAACTTCTTCAACTACTTGAGTTGCCTCAGATTGCACCTCTACTGAAGTTGAAATTTGTGAGAAATACTCCTCTTTAAAGTCCCAGCAAAAACCAAAAAATCTTATTCATAAGTAAGAGTACCTGGATAAGAAGATAAGAAGCCGCGACTCGCGAGAGGGAGAGACGAGACGGCGAGAGGGAGACCGGTGGCTGGTGGAAGTCGACGACGACGAGGACTGTTGGCCGGTGGGCGGTGGCTGCTAGTTTAGGCGTTAGGGTTTCTCTGGAATTAGGAATTAGGAATGAGTTAGACTTTAGAGTTTATCAAACCTTTAATCGCAAATGCGATACCTGCAACAGTTCAAAAGGAGTTTTTGGACGGGATTTTCAATTCATTTCTCAAATTTTCAAACCATAATCTTCAAGAGGCGATTTTCTAAAGAATAATTCTTCCCCAAATCATAGGTAAATGATTTCTAACTCATTTCTTTCAATCTATTTCATCTTTTTACAAGATTTTATCACAAAATCTAGGGATTTTCATGGAAAAATTATTCTTTTTAGTAGAATTTAGGAATTTCAAAATTTGGGAATTTAGACCTCAAATTGAGGTCGAATTCCAAAACCAATTGCATATCCGGGCTTGGGGGTGAATGCGTAATCAGGTTTTGGTCTGAACTTTGGGAAATCCATAATCATGCATTAGAATTGGTTTCTTTGGCATTAATTGATATTAATAAGTTAATTATGCCTAGATACGAGCGGATTGGAAGTGGAAACTAAGGAAAAAGCGGTATTTGAGGCTTGAGTTTGGCTGTGGAATCGAGATAAGTCTTGTGGCTAACCTTGGCTTGAGGGATTAGGTGTTGTTGCCTTATTTGCTACTTGTTAGTTGTTAAGTACGACATATAGGTGTGGTGACGAGTATCTATACGTTGTTTTCGAGTCATAGCATGCGAATGAGTTTTATACTTGTGATTGTTGTGTTTCTTTTTACGTATTGTTCCTGCTTAAACTAGTTATTACTCATGTTCAACATGTCTTATTATGTTTTTCCTGGTTTTGGATATTGGTTGAGGATTGGATCAAGTTGAGATTTCTGTTGTGAAATTAAATGACCAAACAAAGTTGTTTGATTATGATGCCCTTGCCGGGTTATTATTGTTTCTGTTGCTTCTTATGGTGAGGAAGAGTGATAAAGCACGAAGGGTGATGTCGTGCACATTTATATCACTCATATGGTGAGGAAGAGTGATAAAGCACGAAAGGTGATGTCATGCACATTTCTATTATTCATATGGTGAAGAAGAGTGATAAAGCACGAAGGGTGATGCCATGCACGTTTTTATTATTGATTGCATAGTGAGGATTGAGAGTAAAAGCATGAAGAGTGATGCCATGCATTTTCTGTTTGTTGTGTTTATTTGTTGTTATCGGTCCAAGTGTACTAGCTATTTAGATTCCTTTACTGTTGTGATTCTGTATGTTGGAACCCCCATAGCATGTTTCCCCTTCCCGTTCATTTCTGCTTAGATTTTATTACTTGTTATTCTATTAGTATATTGTTTAACTACACAGATTTATGTTGTTTGTCGTGTCCTAGCCTCGTCACTACTTTGCCGAGGTTAAGCTCGACACATACCAGTACATGGAGCCGGTTGTACTTGTAAGCACGTGATTTTTGACCCTCCCCGGGAATTTTTACGTTCTTAGCTTAAAATATTTAATTTAGGACTAATATAGCTATTTTAACTATTTTTACTTTATTTCGTTGCAAAAAGAAAATTTTCAAAAAAAAATATATATAAATTTTAGTTTATGTATCTCTCATAAACTTGAAAAAATACAAAAATTGCACTTTATTTTTGTACTTTATATAATTTCGAAAATTACAAAAAAATATAGTTCTATTAAGGTTTTATAGTCATTTTTAACTTTGAAAAATACAAAAATGTTACCTCATATTTTATCTTAATATTTAAAACGAAAATTACAAAAAATATATTTTATTAATATTTTGTAGCTATTTTAAATCTTGAAAAATATTAAGAAAATAATAATATAGTTTTGTTTTGAATTAGTCTTATTTTAGTAGCTATTTTGCTTACATAGGACTAGTTAAGCAACGTGTTCCTATTTCTCGGGGCCGGGCAAAAGGATAATATTCGGGATCAAACTACCCGGTTTTAGGCCTAATTTTCGGACTTAGCCCATAATAAACCGTGTCCAGGACACATGGGGAACCCCACCACGCGTGGGGCTCATTTTTCTTGGCAAAACATTACAAAACACGGACAAACACATTTGACAAAGGGGGGAACCTTGAAAATTTTTGGAAACAAGGGTACTGTTCACGCTTCTTCTTCTTTAGAAGAAGAANTATTGTTAAAGGCGTGAAAATGGCATCCTTTTAAAAAATATAAAAAAATAAAAAATAATAATAAAAATAAAAAAAACGGGACAAGCTTCGCCAAAAATAAAAAATGTATAGATTGGCAAAATATATGTATTAAATACTTAGATTCCGGGACGGGCCGTTTAGTAAATTTCACGGCCCTACCCAAAAATAATAATGCGCTAGTTGCTTTAGGCGCGCCTTTAATAATGTTATCTCCCTAAACTCGGGTGCACATTTATGTGACCCAAATCCAAATCTCAACGGAATCGAAATGTGTCTTTAATCACGGGTATATTGATTATGGCGTGGCCCGAGGTGCATTTCCATGACGTTGTAATTCCTTTTTAATAATAAATGAGACGAGCCTCGACAAACAAAAATGTAGAAGCTGCGGGGCCCTCTAAATGTATATATATTAAAAATACTTAGAATCCGGGACGTGCCGTTTAGCAAATTTTACGGCCTTTCCCAAAATAACAATGCGTCAGTTGCTTTAGGCGCGTCTTAATAATTTAGTTTTCTTAATTC